GATGACCATGTCTTTCCTAATGGAGTCCAAATGAGCCATTAGTTGTTGTACTGTTGTTTCCTGTTGAGCCTGTGTGATCATTTCCTTGTTGATAGCATCCAGGCTGACATTTGTTAAACTGCTTAAGGCCGATACAATTGTTTCTGCTTGTGCTTTGCCAAATTCATGAGTTTTCAAGTCTTGAACCAGTACATGGGTATCAAAAGTTAATTTCCTTTGCTCTAAAGGAGTTATGTCCACTTGTCTGACATCATGTCTTTCCTTGGCTGTGGTGGTTAAGAATTCTCTCTTCAGGGCCAGTGACAAACACCTGTGAGTGGGAAGAAGCCGGCTGTCCCCTCAGCCTTCATAGCGCAGTAACCGTATCACTGGATTGGTTTTGATAAAATCTCTTAGCTTCTGTTTATCCTTGAATGTTTTGATTGCACAATTGTATTTGATTGATAATTTTGCTGGATAGACAATTCTTGGTTGGCAGTTTTTTTTCTTTTAGGGTTTTGTATATATCTCCCCATTGCATTCTTGCCTGTATTGGTTTGTGCTGAATGTTGTTGTTGTTGTTGTTGTTAAGTGCCGTTGAGTCAGTTCTGACCCACAGTGACCCTGTATAGGGTTTCCCAGGAGCCAATGGTGAACTTGAGCTGCCCACCTTGCAGTTCAAATGGCTTTGCAGTCTGGCGCATTAACCCACAGTGCCACACCAGGACTCCTGAATAGTCAGAGCTTAATCTGATTTGTTTGCCTTTGTAAGTGACACTTCTCTTCTCCCTAGCCACTTTTAGGATTCTCTCCTTGTCTTTGATTTTGGAGAGCTTGATTATTGTATGTCTTGGTGACTTTATTTCTGGGTCTATCTTTCCTGGGGTACCTTCAGTTTCTTGAATGTTTATCTCCTCATCTTTCAAGATGTTAGGTGAGTTTTTTCCAGAAGCTCTTCAACTATCTCCTCTGTGGACTTCTCTGATTCTTCCAGTGCTGGAATGCCAATAATTCTTAAGTTGTTCCTCTTCATGTTATCCAGTATGAATCTTAGACTCTCTTCACATTTTTTTTATCCTTTTTTCTGCTTGCACTTCTATCTTAGCAGTATTGAGAGATTTGTCTTCCAGCTTGCTAGTTCTGGTTTCCATCTCTTCTATTCTGCTTCTTTCCCCTTTCAATGTATTGTCCATTTCTGATATTTTATTATTAATCATCTGGACCTCTTTTTGCAGGTTTTGAATTGTATCCAGTGCTGTATCAATCTTGTTTGATTGCTCTTGTAGTGCTTTCCTGACTTCTTCCTTGTTCTCCTCCACCCCTTTTCAGAGCATTTGAATTTGTTTCCATATCATTCTTCTGAAATCTTTCTCAGGCAAATCCAAAACCTGCTCTTCCTCTTCTGCAGAGCCTTTGTCTGTCTCCAGTGCATTTGTCTCAGTTACTCTTTTCTGGTTTTAGACATGTTTTGAGACTGTTTGTTGTGTTTGAGATCTTTTGCTTGTCATTTCCAGTAGTTATATCATTTTTTTAAGGCTTAAATGGATTTTGTTGCTGTGTTATTAAGCTTACTGGGTGTCTACTGGTGGATATTATCAGGGGATAGGCTTCCCTTTTCACATGTAGTGCTTAACAGCTATTATTGGATCTTGTCTCAATGTTGGAATATTATGGAATATGGTGGTAACTTGGCTATATGGCAATGATTGCTGTCTCTTCCAGGGTAACTTAGGGAGAAAAAACTCCTACCTCCAGGAAAAATGTGTGATCAAAAGGACCAAAAGCAGAAGCAATATAGAAGCAGAGACAAAAACCACCACTTTGAATCAAAAATAAAACTGTGGCTAACTGTCCAGTCACCATGCTACACAGGCACTGTGTGTGCACCATAGAAATCTCCAGCAGTGGGTGGGGGTGTCTGCTCACTCAGGCCCCTCCTCTAGTCACCACTGTGGAGGTGCACAGATAGATATTGAGAAGTTAATGGGAGAAAGATTGTCTACTATGTTTGTCTCTGAAAGTCAGTTAGGTATCTGCATGTGCACAGCGTAATTCTTGAGACAGTTGCGTCCTTTTATGTTAGAATTTTATAGATTGTTTTATGGTTTGTCTGTCAGGCCTGACAGGCCTGCTTTTTTTCTTGCTAGATAGGCCTGTGACCTCAAGGCTGACCTTATAAACAGCCACCAAGCCCTTACTCTCTGTACCATGGGAAAACTGTGAGGTCAGCACTGGACTTTTTCTTTTCTTTTTTTTTTTTTGAGGGGGGCAGGTTGTGCACCCACTTGCCTGAAGGCATCTGGGCTGGGCAAAGAAGGCACGACAGAGAAGAGGAGGAAAAAATGTGTAGAATCCCCCCTGCACCTCCTTTTGCAAATGTCATTGCTCCGGTTTTAACGCCAGTTCCCTGTGCAGGTCTGGCTGTAGCCCCGCCCTCTGAACTTCACCCAGGTCGGGTGGCCGCAGAGGAAGTCCTGACTTGAAAGATTCCTAACTTGCAGTATTTTCTTTATTTTGTGATTTTTTTCATTTGCGGGTTCGGGAAACTGACGTCCTGGATCTTATGGAAGATCCAGAGATCTGGTGTTGTTCAGTGAGCACAGCGTCTCTGGGTTTTCATTCCCTTCCTCAGGAAACCTTTCCTAACTGGCTGTCTCTGCCACAGCTCAAACCGGAAGCCTCTTTAACTTTTTAAAGAGGTCGTTTGCAGTAGATTTGCCCAATGCCATATGCTATTTGAGTTTTTGTCTGCTGCTGCCATGGGAAGTGATTGTGGATCAAATGAAATGGAATTGTTGAAAACTTCAGTCTTTTCTCCATTTATCATGATGTTGCTTATTGGTCCAGTTGTTTCCTTCTGTACAGTTTGTTTCTAAAATTTTATTGTTGACCTTTTGGACTTCTAGTTATTGTTTTAGTATGGTCTATTTATTTTGTGATTTTCTTTATATATATATATATATAATTTTTAATTTTAATTTTATTTTTTTCCTCTTATTGCTTTGTCTGGGTTTTCCTAGATTTTGTCTGTTTTCCTTGAATTCTTTTTTGATCACTTGTTGCTGTTAAGTGCTGTCAAGTCGGTTCCAACTCATAGTGACCCTGTATAGGGTTTCTGAGGAGCAGTTGGTGAGCTTGAACCACTAACCTTGCAGTTCAAACTGACCTTGCAGAGGACCCTATATATTATTCTTTTGAATTTTTGAAAAAGCAGTTCCATTATTATTTTTCCTTCCAGTAGGTTTTCTGGTTCTTTATTTTGGTCACGTAATGGAGCAATCTTGTCCTGCTTCTTTAAGTGGCCTGATTTTTGTGGGTTTGTTTACTGCATCCTTAGTTTTTGTTGTTTTGATATAGCCAGGTGAGAGTGTGTGTGTGCTATTCTGGCTGCTAGTCTGGCCCCACTGGATCCCTTATTGCCTATCTCTGAGTGGTTGAGCAGTGGCTAGACTCATCAGTATGTTTATTTATTCACTTGTCTTGCAGAAGGGCTGAGGATTTAACTGACTGGCATTGCTAGTGAAGTGATGGGTCTCTCCAGCCAACCATCTGGGATTGGATCCAGGGAGCACTGAATTGGGTGTTGTGTGTGTGCGTTTCTGGTTGACAGGTAGTTGATGTGAGAGTCCCTGGATGGGTGGTATAAATACTCTCATGAATTGTCCTGGGTGGGTAGAGCTGTGTGAATAGGGTTAGAGGGGGCACAAGTCTCTGGCTGTGTGGGTGGGGTGGTGGTGATACAAAGGGTTAGGCATGGATGTTATCTTCAGTCTATTTGTGTCTGTTAAGAGGGCATGTCCCATCTGTTACAGCATCACTCAGTGGACCTGAAGTCCCCAGTGCAGGTGTCTACTAGGAGGGGCACTAATAGGGTTCAGTGCTCTGTGGGTTCCCAGCACTGTGGCTGGATTTAGGGATGAAAGCTTCTGGTTCTGGTGTCACTGACTAGGTAGAGCAATGGGCATCACTGATGCATAAGCCTCTGGTGTGGGCAGGTGGGCACAGCAGCAGGACTCATCAGTCCTCAGGCCATCAGTACAATTGGCTGTAATAGTGGACTCTACCAATTCCTGGGCCCATGTTCCAGCAGCAAGAGAGAGAATACATGTCTCTAAATCATGGGCCATAGCTTGGGTGGCTGGGCTTAAGAACTGGGGCTGCTGGTCTGCAGGTTCCCAGCATGGGTGTGTATGCAGAAGAGGGCCTCAGCTCACTCATAGGCTCCTGGTGCAAGTGGGTGGCCAGAGAAGTGAGTACCTTCAGACTGTGGAACTCTGGCATTTCTATTCTGCTGGGTGACTGTGCTGCCATCGCAGGCACAGATATTTCTTAACTGCCTGGGTACCATTAAATGCCTAGTGCTGAATCTTTGTAGCTGTGAAACTTTGAGAAAGCCCTTCAATTTCTTGGAAACTCAGACTTTCTCATCTGTAAAATGGGCATTATAATGTATACTCCATTTACTATAAGGAATGAAATTTTGTGTGAAAACTTTGAATATAGCGAAGTAGTAGATAAATGTTCATTGATTTACATATAAGCTTTTAATTTTTTTCTGTTTTTCTCAAATGCCCTCTTCAGATATCTCAAAATTATAAATAAATATTTTGAAAAACATTTGAATTTCAATAGTAGATCACATCGGTTCCTGGTTTACATTTTAACAACATTGGTGTATTTTGTTATTGTTGTTGTTAAGTGCTGTTGAGTCGATTCCAACTCATAGCAACCCTGTATAGGGTTTCAGAGGAGCAGCTAATGGGTTTGAATGGCTGACTTTGTGGTTCTCAGTCTAGTGCTGATCCACAGTGATACACCAGAAGTCCTTGGTATATTTTAGTGGGTCCCAAAACTCTGAGTTACATATATTCTAATAAAGAAGATGTTTATTCATTAGATCATGGATTTCTCTGAAGTTCAAGGGAATAAAATCAAATTATCAAATTTTTCACTGTTAAAAATATGCTTGTGAGAGTAAAAATAGTGTGAATTAATTTGTTCCTGTTTTCTCACTCTTTAAGATTTTTATACCTTCTGAAGAAAATAGCTTGCTGAACTCCATGTTGGATGTGGTTTCTAGCATCAACTCTCTCCTTCCCAAAGCCCAGCACATTCTTGAATACCTTCCTAAATTTCTTCAAGCATTTAATATTGCAGCATTGCTAGATATGACTGCCATTCAACAGGTTTGTGCTTGATCTTTGTCTTTGGTAAAATATTCAAATGTGCCTTTTTTTTTTTTTTTTTAATACTTTGTATTGTGAATTGAGTGAGATTTACAGAACCAAGCATCAGTTTTATATTCAAGAAATCATGCAATTCATGTGAGTGAAATCCCAGAGATGTCACATCAGGTCTCCAACTTCCTCCCTGTGATCCTTATTTCCATTCCACCCTCCTTCCTACCTCTCCTGAACTTTGTCCTTAGGTAAATTCTTTTATTCTTGAGTAGTTGGCCTTGCTTTTTTTTTTTTTGACATCTAAAATTTGCATTACACTACAAAACACAAGAACAAAAATTCCTTTTAATAGCTCTGATGGGCTCATATCTCCCTAATTGGATAAATCTGTTAATTTGCATTCTACTAATTAGGAGGTTTGTGATAGTTCATGCATTGACTATGAAGTAAGAAATGACCAAATCAATTACTATTATCAATGATATTTCAAGGGACTGCTTAACCTATTTTGGAGAGTAAATTCTTTCAAAAACATAACAGCATTTATTTAAATATAAAAAATTGATCTATAAAGTACAGATCATTTACTTATAATAAAAATATAAATAAGAATTAGGTTAGAGACTTACTAATTAGTTTTTGCTTGAAATCTTTTTTTACCTGGGCTTGAATTGACTAGGGAAGAATAGGAACATTGGGTTATCTGTAGTTAGAGATCTAGGACAAGGAGCCCAAGAACAGTTGTCTTTGAGCTACCATAGAGGTTGCGTTTCAGCATGCTCATCAGCTAATGCATGATTTGAATATATGCCACTTAAATGCTTTCTTTGATAGTGTTGTTGGTGGTTGTGTATCACGGAGTTGGTTCTTACTCATAGAGACTCTGTATAGGATTTCCAAAGCTGTAAATCTTTAAGGGAGCAGAAAGCCTCATCTTTTTCCCACGGAGTTACTGGTAGATTCAAACTACTGATCTTGCAGTTAGAAGCCCAGCTTGTAACGCACTCTGCTACCTTTGATAGTATAGACACGCATTACAATTATTAGTGAGTCAGTTAATTTTACATTATGGGTTTATAGTTTATTGCTGGCCCAAACCCAAGCATTCTTGTGTGTGTGTGTGTATACATATGTGTGTAACACTTTCCTCTTCTACCAGGTATATTGGCCAGAAAGATCTTTGCAGCTATTTGAATATTATACCAGGGACATAAAAGACTAACAAAGAAATTCAATTGACCATCCTGTATATTTAGACAAATGAGGGTCTGTGCTTTCATAAACTGTTGAGAAAACTGTATTAAGTCACTGTTTAATTATCGGTTCTGACATCCTCAGGTTTCACAAAATGACCAGTTCAGAAACTCAGCCTTTGGTTCTTTCCAGTCTGTGATGAAGATGATTTGCAAAGAGAAAGCATTTTTCCTTAGCAACACCAACACTTTTATTGATTTACCCAGAGTTGATGATCTTTTGGAAGGTGACAAGGCAAAATTCAACATTCCTGATGATTCAAGTAAGACAACAGCAATCGTTACTGGTTGAGATTAATTTGTATGTTGATAACTGTCAAGGTCTTATGTCAGGGTCCAGCCTCCACAAGGAAGTGTGGGTGTCACAAAGAAGGGAGATCTGGCATCGAAAGGGATAGAGAAAGAGAGAGACGAAACATATACAAAAAAGACAGACACATAGATATGATGCAAGCTGGCAGGTAGCCAGATCTCAAACATATTGCCTAGCATTGCAGGCAGAAATCACTCTACCTCAGCCTTTTATTCTCTTTTTTTAGGGAGGGATTTGTTACAAAGGAAGGACGTAATTCACAAAAGGAGGATGTAATTCACAAAAGGAGGATGTGATTCTTTAGATAAGACAGGATAAGGAACTGAAATGTGATTAATCATTCAAACAGGACATAATGATTCACAGGAACAACTTTAAAAATATTTTCATAGTTTTTCTTAACAATCTAACATTTTTATTTTTACAGAAAAAAGGTTTAATCAAGCTGTTATATGTTAACTTTTAGGCTTAAATGATCTAGAGCAGTGATGTGCGGTTTCTCAAGGATACTTAACATAAAGCAAGGTTCCTGAAAGAAGCCAAGCTGTCTCTGTACTCACCTGGCTTCATTTATAGATATGTAAAATGCTACATTGTTCTCAATTATCACATTCCTATATACTTTCAGGAGGAAGGAGAGCATCTGGGTTAAACTGATTATATTCAGAGGCGTTTAATGGGGCTGCCACTATTATCCTCTAATCCAACATCCCCAGAATTTACCATTCCACTTTATTTACAAACCTTGGGTAGTTTTTCTCTAAAAACCTTTTGTCATATTCCCAATATACCTGTTCCTGGCCTTTCTGAATTATCTGAGGAAACTTTTACTGCCTCAGCTCTAAAAAGAGGTTTCAAACACATTATTGTTCATGGATATCAAACATAACTGAATAATCAAATAAGGAGCAATTCTGACATTCATCCCAGGTGGCTATCGCTTGTTCCTCAGAAAGATTTGTTCCCAGGACTCCATGCACTGCCAACACAGTGGAGGCATTAAGAGAGGCATTGTAAAAGAAACCATTTTCTCAGAAGCTACAATTACTGGAGTTAGAAGCATAGAATGAACAATATTAGGACCAAAGAAAATTATACAGAGGTAGCTAACCAGTGAGTTCGCAAAAACCAATGAACCCGGGACGTCAGGAGGTCACTTCCTTTGGCCCTCAGGGTCCATGGCTCGCTACCCTGAGGTGGGCCTTGGAATTGGATTTTCGTCCATGTCACAGGGCCACTGATCAACCCAGAGTCTGCGTATTCTGACGCCAGCAGATAACTAGCCCTACTGCCAAGTAATCTATCTGTATAGTTGTTGTTGTTGTTGTTAAGTGTTGTTGAGTTGGTTCTGACCCATAACACACCCCTATAGGGTTTCTGAGGAGCAGCTGGTGAGCTTGAACCACCGACCTTGTGGTTCAAAGCGACTTTGCAGTCTAGTGCATTAACCCACAGTGCCACTTTGTATATATTAACAAGAGCTAGTGACATCAAAAGATCCCAGGTCCCTCAGCACATGCTATTTGTCTTATCTGTAACATGAAGGAATAGAGTTTGAATCATCCAACACACCTGAAAATTCATCCTGACTAATCAGCAAGGGGAAACAATCATGGCAGGGAGACCTAGAGAGCTATATTGGCTCTTGCAAAGTGTGTGACATGCAACATCTCACAGCCCTGCTATCTATAAAGCTCAATTGCAACTGAAAGGCTTCTGGTAGGTGATTTCTCTGCCCCAACTCCACCCATTGCTATTGAGGGCATTTGCATTCATGGTGACCTGAGTGTTATGGACAGAACTGCCCCATAAGGGTCCTTAGCTGTTGTTTCCTGAAAATAGATCACCAGTCATGTTTTCCATGGAGCTGCTGTGTGGGTTAGAATCAACAACCTTCAGGTTAGTAGTCAGGTGCAGTTTCAGTGAATGCATTTTAATTAGAAAGGAATGTTCAATATGCTGGTTAAGAGTAAGGATGGTTAAGTTTAGATAAGTCATCCTTGCCAATAACAAGTTGTATGTCTTTGGTCACATTATTGTATATCTCTGAATCATGTTAGACTCGTCTACAAACTGGAAACCAATGATAGATGCTTTATAATAGCTACTTTACAAGGCATAAAGGAGACGGTGCATATTAACTGCTTGGTAGAACCTTCTCCAAGCATATTAATTTTCTATGCTGCATAACAAATTACCACACATTTAGTAGCTTATTTATTATTGCCTTTTTTCCATGGGTCAGGAGAATGGACATTGGTTAAGTTGTTAAGTTGTTCCTCTGCTCAGGGTCTTCCAAGGCTATATTCAAGTTGTTAGGATTAGTGTCCTCTTCTAAGTATTTGGGGTTGTTGATAGAATTTGTTTATTTGCAGATGTAGAACTCATGAAGATCATAGTTAAAGCCAGAAGGAATGCCTTTCCTCTGTCTCTTTGTGTATGTTTGGGTATAAATGCAAGCAATTATCTTGTGTACAGACCTGGAAGTAAAATTGCTGTATCACAGGGTAGACAGAGGAACCATTTTCCAAGGAAGTTAACTATTTTAGTGGCTTCATAACTTTACCAATATTGAAAATTGTCACTCTGATGGATTCATGTTGTTGTTCTTTAGTGTCATTGAGTTGTAGCAACCTTGTGAAAGGTTTCTGTGGAATGTTTGGTAGATTTGAACCACTGACCTTGTAGTTTAAACTGACCTTGCGGTCCAGTGCTTATCCTATGGTGATGGTGATGGTGTGCTGTGGAGTTGGTTCCAACTCATAGCAGCCCTGTAGAGGATTTCTGAGACTATAAATCCTTACGGGAGAAGAAAGCCTTGTTTTCTTCCTATGGAGTTTCTAGTGGTTTTGAACTACTGACTATGAGGTTAGTAGCCCGACTCATCACCACTACTCTATTGAATTGTGATACTAGTTTGCTTTTCTCTGATGGCCTTGTGCTTATTGAGTAGTTAGATATGATGTGTGTGTTTAATACAGTTGCCCAGTTTTAAATTGGCTTGTCTGACTTTTTTATTTTTAAATCGATTGCTAGACATTTGGCGGTTATTTGTATGTATGTTGAGGGTTAATCAAAAAGTATTGCCATTAGCATTACATGTTTGGGTTTGTTCCAAATACAATGCATTGAAACCCACCTCTTGTTATCAGCGGATGGCTACAGACCAGTTCTTTCAGTAATACACTTTTCTTAGTTTTAGGAAGGTGCCTTCAGTAAAAAAGGTACAATCAAAATAGTAGCTTCTGAGGATTTGTCTAGGGCAGTCAAATTCAAATCAGAGAGGTTATTTTATAACAACAGTTTTAGGGAACTGAAAGAGGATAATGTTGGCAGATTATTCTAGAAGGACACAACACAGGACATTCACAGAGGTTTGTCATGAAGACGTTTTCAGAAAATTGAAAACTGCATTAATGAGAAAAAGATCAGGAAATTTGTGTCACAAATTTTGGTGTGTTTTTTTTTTTTCCTCCCCATCCTGTCAATGCACCTACTTGTTCTTAGATGGTAGCAAGGGCTTTCCTACTATAATATCATCAGAAAAACCTTACCTATCCAGCCTATAGTCCTGATCTTGCCTCTTAAGACTTCTGTTTGTTCTCTCTACTCAAAGAATACTTGAGTCTCTCCAGGATGACTAAACTGTTGTTTCACTGTGGTGTAAATCGACAAGTACATAATTCTATGGGGGAAAGATTGGATAAATGAAGATACTGTCCCCAGAAGTGATGGACCTAGGTGGATGATATGTCAAGAAACAGTAGCTCTCCCTTTGATATTTTTGTTTAATAAAGGTGTCTGTGATATGTAGCCATACTTTTTTGGGCTTACCTCCATACTTCTGCTCTGTGATTTGCTTCTTCATTCTCTGAATGGTGTCCTTTGATGATCACAAGTTCTTCATTTTAATATATTCAGGTTTATCAACCTATTTCTTGATGTTTACTGTTTTTGTATCCTGTTTCAGAAATCTTTGTTATCACAAGATCATAAAGATATTCTCTATTTTATCCTCAAAATTCACTATTGCTTTTCACATCTATATCTACACTCCACCTGCAATTATTTGGTGTGAAGCAGGGGTGAATATCATTTTTCCATTTGGCTAGAAATTTTTTATTGAAAAGATAATCCTGGCTCCAATGCTTCTGCTATGTGTCGCTTGATATGAATCAGCATTCTTATATGTATAAGTCACCATCTGGACTTTATGCTGCTCTGTTGGTTTATTTGTATATGCTAATGGTGTGGCGCTGTGGGTTAATGTGCCAGACTGCAAAGCCCTTTGAACTGCAAGGTCGGTGGTTACAGCTCACCAGCTGCTCCTTGGAAACCTTATACAGAGTCGCTATGGGTCGGAATTGACTCAGCAGCACTTAACAACAAGAGTAATTCATCATTACGTATAATGTTTGCTGTAGTATTTTTATAAATTGTTCTTGTAGTTATTAAGTGCCATCGAGTCGGTTCCGACCCATAGCAACCCTGCACAGGGTTTCCGAAGCTTTAAATCTTTACAGGAGCAGAATGCCTCATCTTTCACCCGCGGAGCTGCTATTTATCAAATTAAGGAAGTTCCTCTTTATTCCTAGTTTGCTATGAGTTTTATTTTTAATCATCAATGGATACTGAATTGTATCAAATATTTTTTCTGCATATACCAATATGATTATTTTATTTCTATTTTCTATAAATGTAGTTAATTACTTGATTTTATAATGTTAAGCTAACTGTGAATAATTAGGGAAAATAGAAAACAAACCCTTACTTGGTCATGATGTATATCGTTTTGTATAACTTGTGAAAAAGCATTTCAGATTCAAAATATTGTCAATATGCTTTTGAGAAATATTGTATTCTCTCTTATAGACATTCTTGTCAAGTTTGGCTAGCAATGTTTGCTAGCTATTAAAAGTTGAGAAAAATCCCTAATGTTCCCATTCTCTGAGAAAGTTTAAGAATACTGTTACTTTTTCCTTACTTAAAAGAATTTATCAGTGGAACTACTTGAGCTAGGATTTTTGTTCAGAGGAAGATTGAAATTTTGAATTTTTAGGTGTAACTCACAATGACCTTATGTACAACAGAGTGGAAACCTGCCAAATACTGTTCTGTCCTCACAGTCTTTCCTGTTTCTGCCTGTTGGTGAGCCCCTCTGTCAGCCCATCTCCTTGAGAGTTTTCCTCTTTTATAGCTGATCCTCTACTTTACCAAACTTGCTCTTCTCCTGGGACTGACCCCTCCTGATGACATGCCCAAAGCATAAGAGATGTAGTTTCCTTGTCCCTACTTCTAGAGATCATTTTGGTTGTAGTCCTTCTGACACAGATTTCTTCACTTTTCTGTCAGTCCATGGTGTATTTGTTAGAGGGTTAGCCAAAAAGAGGAAAACTCAAATGAGATGAATTGACACCATGACTGCCCCAATGGGCTAAAACATGACAACAGTTGTGAGATGATGCAGGAGGGGGCAGTGGTTGATCTATTTTGATAGGGTCATCATGAGTCAGAGATGATTCAATAGCACCTAGAAACAATGGTTTTTAGTGTCTTTAATATTCTTTATTAATATTGCAATTCAAAGGAATAAGTTATTCTTTGGAGCCCTAGTATGGCTCTATAGGATAAGCACTGCGTCACAAGGTCAGTTTGAACCACAAGGTCTACAGTTCAGCCCCACCAACTGCTCCTTGGAAACACTATACAGGGTCTCTATGAGTCTGAACTGACTCTATGGCACTTAACAACACAACTTATGAAGCTTACAGTTTAATTTGTAAGTAGCTAAAAATTAGTAAGAATGATCTCTTTATTTTGGTGTTTTAAAATGCATTATGTAATCATCTTTTAGTTTATATTTTAGGGGATTATTTTTGAATTTTATTGTACTTGCTGAATAAAAGTATTTTTATTTTGAAATGGGCAATTGAGTAAGGTGAAATTAACAGTTAAAACAACTACAACAGTACTCTTTATGTCTTTCGTGTTATGAATCATAATATCAAAGCTAAGGCAATATTTTCATTTGAATGTTCTCTTTGAGGGTAGAAGAACTAGATATACTTACACTATACCTTCAAGCATAAAACCTGAAAATATTCTAATTATTTATTGTTATTTTAATTAAGTGTCTACCTTTTGATTTAAACAGTAAAGTAAATGTTAATCTGAAACCAAATAGCACTGTAACAGCTAGGAGAGTCACTGTGAGGAATGAATGGAGTAAAAACAAGGAATTGAATATATTAAAAGTAGTTAAGTTTAAGAGTTCTATGTAGGCACAGCAAAGACACATGAAAAGCTAACTGCATAAAATTGAATCAAGGTCTCAGTATTGTGAACTGTTTCTAGGTTAAAATCCAGATTCATTTTTATTACCGGTGTAATTTTCAAATGTCTTTGTCATTACTCATTGCTCTTGTTGTTAGCTTAACTTGAAAATGTGAAATCTTGTATTACTTTCTTTCAAATGATTGAAGTGGAACACAATATCCTGAAACTTCTTAGTTGATGAGAGCTGTGAAGATTAGAGGATGCAAAGTATTTCAGAATTCACTGCCCAAGTTCAGAGTTATATCATGAAAGATTTATTGCAATCATTCCTTGAGAAATGATTGTGGAATAATGGCTATGTAATGAATTTTCCTATTATCTTAGAAATTCTGTATCATGAGTT